TTTTTCTTTTTTTTCGAATAGTCGGGGTAAGAAGGTGCTTGTCATTGGAGTGGGTTAAAGGAAACCCAAACTTCCGAATGCTTAGACGCGCTATTTGATTTAGGCAAGGCAACCAGAGGAGCAGATCACACCTCCCTTTTTTACCACCACCGCACAATAACACCTGAGAGGTTCTTTCAATCGTATATTTGCTTGATCAACATTTCGAACCACCTTCTGGTGTTTTAGGGGTCCCTAGTACACTACCCACTTTAATAAATGTGAATATCTTCGATATTTTGGCCATTTCACCTAAAATACTTTGCAACAAGATTCATCTCACACGATTTCAAAATCCACGTGAACGATGATGTTAATGAAAGCACGAGTAGCGTAGTAAACAGCATCCGAAAAGCATTTAAAACTAAAGAAACAAACAACATTTAGACAAAAACGTGAGTCTCAAAAGTATTAGCTCTTGAAACTCAAAAGTTTCTACTAAGCGTAAAAGTAAACTTTCTAAAAGTCACTTCTGGAGTAAAGACCCACGCGAAATTAAGCAGCTCGATTTGAATCGTTTGAGATAATATGAAGAGTGCTTAGAAGCTCATTTGCCAGCGTCAGTGGATCTATCTTGAGTTGTTTTAAGTTTCGCAGTATTTCCAGTCTGAAAGCAAATTCCTTGGATTTCAACGTGTACAACTCTACGATAGGCGTTTCCAGCTCAACTCATTTATGAGGCCGGCCTATAGTCTTCGAAAATTGCTGGAAATCGGTCTATTTCCAGATATTTTGCAATAATTTATACGATGCGCCAATTGATAAATAACGAAATTGGCAAATTTCACCTAGTAAGCTATAAAGGTAAAGTTAAAAACAAGGGTATTCTTGGGTATCATGATAAATCAGGGGTATCGAGGGGCTAATCAACAAAATATCTCAGGGTCCTCTTTGAACTATGTGGGTGACTATAGGATACCTGTGAATTTCTTTTATCCTGAATTCTCCTTTGCCTCAAATACAGTGGCATTACAGGGTTAAATTCAATTGTAGTTATAAGCAAATAAAGACGTAACAGTTTACAACTTCGTCTTTATTGATTTAATAACATATTCATTTTCTTTATACCGTTCCTTTTTAGTATGAACATAGATATATTTGAGAATAAAAAATGCTGCTGTAGCACCCAGTATACTTCTTATAACTACATCTGAAACTCGGTGAGAGATTGCGAAAGTTACTCCGGGTAAATCTCTTTATTTATTCCCTTACAATCTTTCCTTTGTCGGTTTAAGTTGATACATTTGCCTGGTAACTATATCTGTCTTGTTCTCGTTAGATCTAGCTCAATGCTATGCCGACCACTCTCCTAAGAGACTGGTTGGTAGCACATTTTCATAAAACAGCTCCTCCAAGTTGACATATTCCTAAGTGTAAGAAAATAGAAAGACACAATTTAAAACAAATACAGTCACGTTTACCAAAACTTTAACTAGATAGCATGCCATAATGCTGTCAGATAATAATCGTAATGGCTTTGACAAAACTGAAAATGAATTATCTTAAACATAAAGACCTAAAGAGATATCTCACACATTGACGAACCTA